TTTTGTTTTTATGATACATCCTCTATTTAAGAAATCAGATGGGCATTTGATGTTGTGGTTAAGACCCTGCTTGGGATACCTATATTCTACATTGAAACACCTGATTCAAGCCCTGACTGCTCTAGAAACGCCTCCTGACCCAGTTTCCTGCTCATGTGCACCATGGAAGGCAGCAGGTAATGACCCAGGCACACGAGTTGTTGCCAAACAGGAGACCCTGCCTCTCTTGGCTGTTGTGGGCGTCTGGGAAGGGAGCCAGCAGATGGAAGATTTCTGTCTTTCAAATAAAATGAAAATAACTTTTAAATAAATTTTTTTTTCCTGACTACCTCATGCTAATCTTCCAAGTACACACACAGAGACGGGAGACACTGCAGCCCAGCCTTCCAAGGTAGGTGGGCAGGCTGTGTTATTCGCGCTGCTCTGCCTCTGTGGGTCATGGGCTTGGGTCGGGGTGTGGGTGGGTGATGGTCATCGGAAGGGAGACTGGCAGCTGGGCACAGGCGCAGGCATGGATACACAGTGAGCCTATGGCAACGAGTGGTATTCTGTGACTTGCTCTGTACGCAGTGGCCTGGGTCCTGACCTCCTGATGTAAGTCACCTACCCCACCCCACGCCAGGTGTAGTCTCTATCATCCAGGACTCCTGGAGGCAGAACTGGCATTGGATCTCACTCTCGTCTCTCACCATGTTGCAAACTCCAATACCATCTTCCTGAGGGCTTCCCCGCCCCCCCCCCTTTTTTTTTTTCCAAAGATTTATTTTTATTATTTTTTAATTGGAAAGGCGGATATACACAGAGGAGAGATAGAGAGGAAGATCTTCTGTCCGATGATTCACTCCCCAAGTGAGCGCAACGGGCCGATACTATGCCGATCCGAAGCCAGGAGCCTCTTCCGGGTCTCCCACGCGGGTGCAGGGTCCCAAAGCTTTGGGCCGTCCTCGACTGCCTTCCCGGGCCACAGGCAGGGAGCTGGAAGGGAAGCGGGGCTGCCGGGATTAGAACCGGCGCCCCTATGGGAACCCCGGGCGTGCAAGGCGAGGACCTTTAACCACTTGCGCCACCGTGCCGGCCCCCCCCTTTTTTTTTTTTTAAAGATTTATTTATTTTTATTGGAAAGTCAGATATAGAGAGGAAGAGAGACAGAGAGGAAGATCTTCCATCCACTGGTTCACTCCCCAAGTGGCTGCGACGGCCAGAGCTGAACCAATCCAAAGCTGCAGGAGGACATTGTGACCCTAGAAGGTCAGAGAGCACAGGATTACAAACAATTGGATAATATTTGTATGAAAACAACTGAATGGGTGCCTTTTGTGTGACTGATTGGATATCCTTTGCATGAGAACAACGGAATGGGTACCTTTTGTATAGGTACCCATAGGATATCATTTGTATAAGAATAGTGCCGTGGACAGCATGCGTCTGAGAACACTTGGTAGAATATACAAGACAAAGGAGTTCCAAACAAAAGTATAGAAACAGTTGATGGTTTTTTTTAAGACTTATTTATTTATTGGAAAGTCAGATATACAGAGAAGGAGAGACAGAGAGGAACATCTTCTGTCCGATGATTCACTCCCCAAGTGAGAGCAACAGCCAGTGCTGCGCCAATCCGAAGCCAGGATCCAGGAACCTCTTCTGGGTATCCCACATGGGTGCAGGGTCCCAAGGCGTTGGGCTGTCCTTGACTGCTTTTCCAGGCCACAAGCAGGAAGATGGATGGGAAGTGGAGCTGCCGGGATTAGAACCGATTAGAACCAGGCGAGGACTTTAGCCACTAGGCTACCCCGCTGGCCTGATGGGTTTTGTTGATAAGCTCAAACCCTCCACCCTTATCCTATATGACCCTCAGTGTATAAACTCTGATGCCCCTAATAAATTGTGGCTATTGATTATCAGTCAGTAGTTCATGCGTGTTATTATCGGCTCCGTGCACCAAGTCCATTGCTGCAGTACAGCGACAAAAAGCCATGAGTCTGGGTTTCACACTTGGATACAGGCTCCCAAGACTTTGGGCCGTCCTCGACTGCTTTCCCAGGCCACAAGCAGGGAGCTGGATGGGAAGTGGAGCGGCCAGGACATGAACCAACACCCATATGGGATTCCAGTATTGGCAAGGCGAGGATTTAGCCACTGAGCCATCACACCGGGCCCTGTATTTGGTCTGTCTTCTGTCTAGTTTTCCAGGGAGTGGAAATGGAATTGGAAGCAGAGCAATTGGTACTTGAACCACCAGAATGAGAAATGGCACTGTCATAAACACAGACGTAGTCTGTCACAACACCAGTCCCAGTTTAAAAGACTAGGCAGGAATCTGAAATCAAAGACGCAAACAATACTTCGTTTATCTAATCCTAGACGTCTCCCTCTTTATTTAGGCTATTGTTAGCAGTCCCCAAATTATTAGTGCTGCTTTGAAATTCTCTTTTAATCTGTGTCCTGTAACCTCTGACATGAGGTCATGACATGTCACAATCCATGTCCTGTTCCATTTGTGAGAATCTCCTGAGCTGGTTCTTGGCTTCCGCCCGTGTGGCATCCAAGAAGGCTTCGGGAAGGCCTGGACTCGCCTATGAACACTCAGGTAGGCTGGCCACATGTTCTGCTTACAATTTCACGTCTTTAGTGCAGCGTGGATAATAATTGTGAGTGGTTTTGGAGACTCTTCCTTGCTTTGCAGTTCTAACAGGTGGGTTTCTGATTTTAGTGTCTTTTATTATAGAGTCAGTAGGTTTCTGCAATGATCAAGACTTGTGGCATAGGGCCTGGTGCGATAGCGTAGTGGTAAAAGTCCTTGCCTTGCACACACCGGGATCCCATATGGTCGCTGGTTCTAATCTCAGCGGCCCTGCTTCCCATCCAGCTTCCTGTCTGTGGCCTGGAAAAGCAGTCCGGGATGGTCCAAGGCCTTCAGACCCTGCACTCCCTTGGGAGACCTGGAAAAAGCTCCTGGCTTCAGATTGGCGCAGCTCTAGCTATTGTGGCCGCTTGGGGAGAGAACCACTGGAATGAAGGTTTTCCTCTCTCTCCTCCTCCTCTCTGGGAATCCGACTTTCCAATAAAACTTTTTGTACAAGGTGTGCTGGGGGGGGGGGGCGGAATATCATTTTAATTTTCACTACAAACAATGGGATCTTGGTAAATTCTCAAGCCTAAATCTAAATTTGTAAAGTGCAAATAAGAAACATAAGTCATAAGGTTGTAGTGAAGAGAAAAAGTACATAAAGCACTTAGGAAACGATTGACTGATTATTGCTTACAGAAGACAAACGATGATGAATTATTTTCATAGTGGAGGTGCCAAGACACGCAATATTTTGGAGTAAGTATTTGGGATTCGAGGAAGAAAAGGAAAGTCTGGGGTTGGTCTGGCAGTCTCGTTATCATCACGAAACATCGTGATCCCGGGGGCCCATGTGGCAATACTGAAACGAGTTGCCTGAGCACAGCGGCCCAGAATCTGCATTTGTCTCCAGCACGTGTGGCGCCGGTGGCCGGTGTGGTCAGACCCCGCACCTGTCTCGCCGCCTGCAGCCACACGAGGGCGCCCGAGAGAACGGGGCGGCCCCGGCGGCTGCGCAGAGCGCTCGCCGACGCCGGCGGCCGAGGGGCCGGATCTGCGGGGCTCAGCTGACGGCTCCGAGACGGAAGAGGCGGTGCGCGGGTGGAGCCGGGCGTCGCTGTAGGCCTGGCCGGCGAGGGGCAGGAGAGCGGAGCCCTGGGGACGCGGCGGGGCGGCCGGGAGGTATGGCGGGCGCACGAGGCGGAGGAGGGTGGCCGGGCCGGGGCCGCTGGGTGCGTGGGCAGCTGAGGGGGCGCTCCGGCTCCGCGCCCCGCGGCTCTGCGCCCCGCGGCTCTGCGCCCTCTGCGTTCCCCGAGCCGGAGCGCCCACAGCCGGGCTGGGCCGGAGTCCGCACGGGAGGTGGACGCCTGGAAGAACGAGTAGGGTTTATAATCAGCCCAGAAGGTTCTGACAGAGGAGAGGGGGTTTTCCTCTTGTGGGCTAGTGGCCTCCGGTTTACCAGAATTAATCTCGCGACTGCGGCTCTTGTTGGGGGGCACCCCTGTTCAAGAGGAGTCGCCCCGCTGAGCCGAGTCCAGATTGGATGCTGACTTTGGACCGGAAGGGCTCCGTGGGCTGCCATTGCTGTTGGTGGTGGTGTCGTGGAGATGGTCCGAGGACTTTGCCTCGTGTGTGCGACCCCGGCCCAGACTCTGCCCCCAAAGCCGCGTTTGTTAACTGTGCTCTTGTTGCTGTGACGACGGCCCCAGCTTCCTGCTCTGCGTAGCTGCGTCCGGTGCTGCTACTTCCCGATTCCGAGCTACTGCATTTCACCCCCCACCCACTCAGTCGTAATGTTGTCCTAGTGGCCCATGCAAGCCACAGCCAGGTGCCGGTGGACGTGTGTGTCATCGCAGTGTGGACCGAGCTCTGTGGAACAGGGGCTTTGGGTGGAGGTCAGCAACCCGAATGAAGGAGTGGGTTCGCCCAGGGAGGGAGGGCAACTGGGGAGCCAGAGTCGGTTGGGGCAGGTCAGGAGGAAGTGGAGAGGGCAAGACCTACCGGTAGCCAAGGTGCACCCTGGAAGCCCTGGAGAGCTGGGAACCCTGTAGAGACCTGTTCTAATTGCCCTAAGCTAGAGCCTGGCGGTGGCAGCTAGTGGGCAGACAATACAGAGGACTCCCACCTAAAATCAGAAAGTGTAAATTCCACCTTTTATCCCATTTGTAATTTTGAAAGGCAGATTTAAAGAGCAGAAAGATCTTCCATCTACTGGTCCATTCCCCAAATGGGCTGCAACAGCCAGAGCTGAACCAATCAGGAGCCAGGAGCTTCTTCCTGTCTCCCACACAGGTGCAGGGCTGCAAGGCTTTGAGCCATCCTTTGCTGCTTTTGAGGCCACAAGCAGGGAGCTGGATGGAAAGTGGAACATTGGGACACAAACCGGTGCTCAGATGGGATGAGCCACAGTTAGGGGGGAGGTATTTGTAAATGTTTTAGGAGGCAGAAGGACTTCAGCTCTGTTATCAGCGTGTACTATGGCCTGGTAAAGTTCTATGAGTTAAATAGGGTAAAGTGAAAATATCTGATGATCTGATGTAGTGCCTGGTAGATTCTGAAACTTGTTCCTTGCTCATTTTGACGTCACGCTTCGGAGGATCTGTTTTAGGAAGTGTGGCCGCGTGTACTGTTTATGCCAAGGGTTTCAGAGTGTTCATTGGACTGTAACCCGTTCGTGAACCATGCTCCCCTTCTTCACCCACTTCAGAGGCTTGGCTCTAAACATTTAGAAACATGTGAAAGGTTCATGTGTGTGTGTGTGTGTGTGTTTTAAAGTGCTATCCCATTACCCAACTTGTCAATTTTTGAAAATAGTATTTTAGTTGGAGAAGTCCTGAGCAGGGACAGAAGGAAATGGGAGAGAGGTGGGAGGTGAAGGAATGGCAGAGGCAGAAAAAGAAAGGAGGGAAACCTGGGAGGTGCCTGTGACAGGGTGTGGTGTCTGTCCTCCACCTGGCTCTTCCCATGCTGGGGCGCTCAGATAAGAAGGCTGGGCGCATGACCATGCCCGGCCGCCCCAGCAGATGAGGGCTGGCCCTCCATCGGGGTGTGTTTGACATGCGTGACGGTGAAGGGTCCTGAGTGCATCCTTGGTCTCTTCCCTGTAGATGGCCGAATTTGCGCAGTCTGACTAGCATGAGTCCCACACCTCTGCCTCTCAGCCAGCCTCAGCCTTCTCAGCTCCACCGGCTGCAGGATAAATGGGATTAATACGACTTGCAAGCTGAACTAAAATCCAGACTGCGGTGCTACTATCCTTCTGGTGGTGTGAACAGGTACCCCTGACCTCAGCTGGAGGTGCTGTGTCTCACCAGGCTACAGCTGAAGCACAGCCGGCATCTGCTGGGGGGAGGAAATTTCCTTCTGAGGACGGGATCGTTTTAAGTGAATGTGTTTAAATTCTGTAGTGTTTTGTGGTAGGAAGGGCTGTGTGCTGTCCTACCTGTTCGAGTTTATACATTTCAATTTTATAAAGATTTTAATTGAGAAGGAGCAACTATCCAGTATGCTGGTCAACAAGATGATAATCTTTTTGTTACTGATTTTCGTAGATTCCCATTACATATTTCTTCTCACATTGAATGAATTGTACTGCCTTTTAAGAATTAAAAAAGCATAGATTCACACTTTAATGGTAACATATTTTCATTGTGTTGCCTATAGTCATGGTTTTATGGCTTCTCAGAGTTGCAAAATCTGTTACTTTTAAAACAATATTTTGCTCCTTGCTCAGGTACCTGGCTCTTCTCTGTTACCTTCACCTGGAGAGTTTTCTCAGTGGAGAGTAACTTTGTTCCCTAGGATGCATTTGGCTGGAAATTGAGACATTTCTGGTTGTCACAGTTCTATAGGGGAAGGGCACAGATGACATAGATAGAAACAAAAGCGTGCAGTTAAGGGCCCTGCAGTGTGTAGCACAGCGCTCCCCGACCTGCTCCCTGTCCCCAAATTTGCTTCAAATTGTCAGTAGTGTTGGGTTGAGAAAACCAGACATATCTGTAGATTTTTAAATTTCATTTGTTTCTTATTTATTTATATTGGAAAGTCGGATATACAGAGAGGAGGAGAGACAGAGAGGAAGATCTTCCATCCGATGATTCACTCCCCAAGTGAGAGCAACGGCCAGTGCTGCGCCAATCCGAAGCCAGGAGCCAGGAACCTCTTCCGGGTATCCCACATGGGTGCATGGTCCCAAGGTGTTGGGCTGTCCTCGACTGCTTTTCCAGGCACATGAGCACGGAGCTGGGTCAGAAGAATAGGCAGGAATAGAACACATTCCACTAGGAATGGAAGTGTTACAAACAGCGGTTGAATCCATTAAACCACAATGGAAGCAAAAAAAATAAATAAATAAAAGCAAAAAAAATTTAAAAGTGGGCCTGGCACAGTAGCCTAGTGGCTGAATCCTTGCCTTGCATGCCCCAGGATTCCATATGGGCTCTGGTTCATATCCCAGCTGTTCCACTTCCCGTCCAGTTCCCTGCTTGTGGCCTGGGAAAGTAGTCAGGACAGCCAAAGCCTTGGGCCCCTACACCCACATGGGACATCTGAAGGAGATTACTGGCTCCTGGCTTCAGATTGGCTCAGCTTTGGCCATTGCCACCACTTGGGGAGTGACTCAGCGTATGGAAGATCTTTCACTTCGTTTCTCCTTCTCGGTATATCTACCTTTCTGATAAAAATAAATAAGTCTTTTTTTTTTAAAAAAAATCTGGCTTAAAAAAATTAATTGTGCTTTTTCTCCTAAATCAGCCACGAAAATGAAACAGCCAACTGATAAATTGAGCAATTAGAAATACCGCCACCACTCTATTTGGAAAAGACTTACTGTTGTAAAACTAATAAAATACTAGATAGCGCTGCGATTTTTAGTTTAGCAGAAACATGACGATACTGATTCATCCCTTGCAGTGGGAGGAGCCCTTCTTTGAAGTGCTTCTGAGCTTCTCACAGCTCCTGTGCATCTGAAGTGACCGGTGTGAGCGCCTTCGCATCCCAGACCACTAGATGTCGTCAGAAGACCGAGAGGCGCAGGAGGATGAACTGCTGGCCCTGGCGAGCATTTATGATGGCGATGAATTTAGAAAAGCCGAGTCCGTCCAAGGCGGAGAAACCAGGATCTATTTGGATTTGCCACAGAATTTCAAGATATTTGTGAGCGGTTAGTGGATAATATTCTCTTACACAGACTTTTCTATGTAGAAATTACACTGTTTCTCAGTGTTCCCTAAACTGCTTGTGATTTTTGGTTTATAGACACTAAGGATAAATGGTTTGAGGCATGATGCATTTTAATAACGAATTGGAACTCTTTGCCATCTGATTCCATCTTTTGGACCGCCTGAACTGGAATGTTATTCTGCATATTTCATGCATGCTAGTCTTTTACAGCTGGGAGATCGTCATGCGACAGTGACTGTCAAATAGGGAGTAGTTAAAGAGAAAATGCAAAAACCCTCAGAGAGCTTTAAAGTAATACGGTGGTGGTCAGACTGTTTGGGTTCCAGAATTTTTTCAGCTTCTCACGACATATGACACATGCTGCTTTGATACGAACATTCACAGAGGACCTTTATGTCTGCTTCTCAAAATGTGTTGTGGGAGTGTTGTGTGCTGTCCCCAAGCCCAAAATCACTGTGATGGCAAAAACTGATAAAGTCAGCAATTAGAAGTACCATGGCCATTCGCTATGAAAAAGACTGTTACTATTGCAAAGCTATTGGAATACTAGATATGGCTGTTGTTTTCAGTTTAGCAGAAACATGAGATCAGTAGGTTGTGGTCGTTTGATAAAAAAATAAAGGTCCTCTTCTCCAGACAGTGTTTTTAATCTTCATGGCAAACCGGCAACAGTAAAACAAACACTGTATGCTACTTGGTTAGTGGTGGTTGGGGTACTCAGAAGTGCATATAAGAATAAATTGTATATTGGCATTATGCATTTCAGGGTGCTTAGTAAGTTTTTCAAGGGCTTACAAGGTTGCATATATTTTTTAAGGTGGTGGCTATGGAGTTAAAATTAGGGAGTAGAAAGTGCTTTCAAGGAGGGCTTTCATTCCCTCAGTAAGGCTGTAAGTCTTCCTTGAGCTCCGCTCAATACCAGTGGACACTCGAGTGTTGACCAACTGATCCTTTCTAATCTTTGTTTTTGGTTCAGGCAATTCAAATGAGTGTCTCCAGAATAGTGGCTTTGAATACACCATTTGCTTTCTGCCTCCACTTGTGCTGAACTTTGAGCTGCCACCAGATTATCCATCCTCCTCCCCACCTTCATTCACACTTAGTGGCAAATGGCTGTCACCAACTCAGGTTAGACCCAAAACTTCTATGCGCTTTTAGAAACTAAAAACAAATCATCTGTAATTGAAGACTATCTTGATGATCTTGAATTTGATGCATGAAGAACAAATCGCTTTGATTTTGTAATTTTTTTTTCCCTTTGCCTTCATGAATCCTTATGCTAATGAATTGAAGTGTTTGATGTTTCTAAAAGGAATGACCATAGTTAAAACAATTGATCATTATGAATTGCAGTAAGAATAATTTTTAACCAAATATACTGTTTCTTTTGTCGTGCTATTTTCCCACTTAATCTGTACTGTAATGGAGGCTGTGTAGTTCTCCTGGTTTTTTTCCTTAGATGTTGGTATTCCTTTCCTTTTTTCCCCTTAGTTTCTTAATCATTTCTGAAATACAAAATGATTGTATACAGGAGTGAAAATTGAGCTAATGTAGCTACAATAAGCATATCTCCTGAGTAAATGTTAAGTAGTTTTCTTTTTAAAACTTGTTTACTGACAGCAAATAGTCATTGATTGGTGTCAAATAGTTATGAATGCTTAGAAATATAAATGTGTATGGTTCCTGTAGCTTTGTCCTAAGGCTTGAGACCTCATATTAAGACAGCTTCACTTCCTCTGGGTTACATAAGTTCTTATCTAGTATCAACCTCAACTCTTTTTTTTTTTTAAAGATTTATTTTTATTATTTTGTTTATTGGAAAGGCGGATATACAGAGAGGAGAGACAGAGAGGAAGATCTTCCGTCCGATGATTCACTCCCCAAGTGAGCGCAACGGCCGATGCTATGCTGATCCGAAACCAGGAGCCTCTTCCGGGTCTCCCACGCGGGTGCAGGGTCCCAAAGCTTTGGGCCGTCCTCGACTGCTTTCCCAGGCCACAGGCAGGGAGCTGGAAGGGAAGCGGGGCTGCCGGGATTAGAACCGGCGCCCATATGGGATCCCGGGCGTGCCAGGCGAGGACCTTAACCACTTGCGCCACCGCGCCGGGCCCCAACCTCAACTCTTGATTGAGACATAAATGTGACTTGAACCTAATTGAAAATATTCTGGGATTTAACAGATCGATAGCAGCTGCTTTCCTAGAAGGCATGATGAAGATTGATAGGCTAATGTGTATATAAAACCATAGCTATCAAGGTCACTGACCTCAGGGAGCTTACCCTTTTGGTCACATAGTTTCCACTTCTCAGCCACCAGCCCACTCTTTTGTATGAGAGTGACTCGGCAAAACTGAGTTTATGCTTTTAGGAAAAATTAAACCTTAAGAAAGGAATGTATGTAGAATAGTAAAGCAGGGAGTATTCCTTTATGTGATACCTGTGTCGGAGATAATAGGTGCAAGACAAATAGTTGCTTGCCCAGGAAGACTGTTAGACCTTTAGAGGTTTAGATTAGTCATCACGGCTGGAAGACTAATAATATTTGGATATTTATAGTCTCACTTCTCCCGAGATCTTGATATTTTACAGTCATGCTTGTGTGTATGTATACACCATACACACATTTTATAGTAAAAAAAAATATTACTCTCCATAAAATTTTATGTATATAGTTGGGATTTTAATTGATCTTTAATATTCCTTCCTGGTCCAATTCTTGTTGATTGTTGCACTCTGGTTTCATGGTGTTATAAATCTTGTCTGTTAATGGTGAAATTGGTGAATGGACCAATCATTCTCAGAGTTAGGGTAGGTAGGAAGGAGGGAAGTAGATTTAGTTTTCTGGTATTTTCCGTTGTTCTCAGTATGCACGCCAAGAACAGAGCCCCTCTCTTGCAGTTTCCTGCTCCCCCTCCAGGTTTACATGCTGATGTTTTGAGAAAGGAATAGAAAAGCACAGAGGACGGAGGGAAACTGCTTGGTCATTGGGGGCCTGGGGCTCACACAGCACCTGGAGCTTCCCTCTAGGTTTTACAGATTTGAACAGATTTCTTAAAATCATGATTGACCTTGGAAGCATCTTCATGCACACATGAAAAAGCAGTAGCTTTCCAGTCTTAATTTGTTGATAAGTATACAAGTTAATGCTTGTGCAAGGTTTATTCGGCAGCATTACACAGAGCCAGGAACAGAAAATAGGGCCCTTTTTCACTTGTTTAAATTTACAAGATGTGTTTGCCATTTGGAAGGCTTATTTTTGGGTGTTTATCTGAAAAGGAAGATCTGCTTATAATTCCTGAGCTCTACTTAACAAATATTTTACATTCCTAATGGGAAATCCTCATATATTTCCTTTCAGAGTGAACAGAACACTTTTTTAAAAAGACAAAATATTTTCAACCTTGGTCGCTTAGCTTAGGAAATTGGCGTTTTCTCTTTGGTAGCCTGAACTTGTAATGACGTCCAGGTCAGTGTCAGTTCGCTTCCCTCCATTACCCAGGATCTGGAGTAAACCCAGATTGCTTATGGAGGAGCAGCTTGTAAATCTGAAAAAAAAAAAAAAAAAAACAACAAAAAAAAAACCAAGAATTCACAGGTTGAGTTCTGTGTAGGGATTCTTTTAAATGACTTGGCTCTTTGATGGAACTAAAAGTTAAAATGTATCTTTTTGAAGCCATTCTTTTCTAACTGTTGGTTTCAGGGTAACCACAGGATCTAGTTCATTGCAGAACTAGATCTCTTTAGGTTTTTTTTTTTTCCTTGTTTTTACATTACCTTCTAGAGCTTCTGAGTTTATAGTTTACTCTGACTGAGTGGTCTAAGATTGGTATTGTATGTAGCACAGTTCATCCCAGCATTAAAAAAGCAGCAACCAGTGCAGGAAGCCTGAGGGCCTCCCAGAGAAAGTTGAAGATCCTCCAGGGGAAGCAGTGGCATCTGCACGCTCACCAGTGTCGCCCTCTGCTCTCTGCTCTTTCGTAGCTGTCTGCTCTGTGCAAGCACTTGGACAACCTGTGGGAAGAGCACCGAGGCAGTGTGGTCCTGTTTGCCTGGATGCAGTTTCTTAAGGAAGAGACCCTCGCCTACCTGAATATTGTCTCTCCTTTTGAGCTCAAGATGGGATCCCACAAGCAGGTGCAGAGAAGAGCAGCGCCAGCCTGTCCCAACAAAGAGCTGGAGTCCGGAGGAGCCGCTGGGTGCACCGTAGATCAAGAGGAAGCCGTGGATGAGCGAGCTGTGCAGGACGTGGAATCATTGTCAAGTCTGATCCAGGAAATCTTGGACTTCGATCAAGCTCAGCAGATAAAATGCTTCAATAGTAAATTGTTCCTGTGCAATATCTGTTTCTGTGAGAAACTGGGAAGTGAGTGCATGTACTTCTTGGAGTGCAGGCATGTGTACTGCAAAGCTTGTCTGAAGGACTACTTTGAAATCCAGATCAAAGATGGCCAAGTTCAGTGTCTCAACTGCCCAGAACCAAAGTGCTCTTCCGTGGCCACTCCTGGTCAGGTAACTTGGCTCTGCTGATGGCTGCCTTCCAGGTCTGTTTAGGAGCTTCCTTGGTAGGGCACAGACCTGGCAGCCAGTCCATCAGTTGTTTCACTGTATGCTGTGCTCTTCCTGACACTTGAGTAGATATAAATGCTTCCGTAGCAGCACTGGGAAAGGCCTGGGTGAATGTTAAAAAGGAACTCTGCTTGACACGGCAGTAAAGGCACTGGGACGCCTGCATCCCAAATCAGAGTGTCTGGGTCCCAGTCCTTGCTCTGCTGCTGTTTCTGCTTCTTGCTAATGTGCACCCTGGGAAGCCTAAGTGCTGTGGTCTCTGCCACCCGTGTGAGAGACCCAGCGTGAGCTCCCGGCTCCTGGCTGTGGGGCATTTGCGGAGGGAAGCAGCAGATGACATCTTGCTTTCTCTTTCCCTTTGCCTTTTCTTCTTCATTTTTTTTTTTTTTTAAAGATTTGTTTATTTTCGTGGGAGGGGCTGATTTATATATAGAGAAAGGTCTTCCATCTACTTGGTTCACTCCCCAGGTGGTCGCAGTGGCCAGAGCTGAGCCTCTCTGAAACTGGGAGCCTTTTCCAGCTCTCCCACCTAGGTATAGAGACCCAAGCAGTTGAGCCATCTCCCGCTTTCCCCAGCCACAGGCAAGGAGCTGGGTGGGAAGTGGAGCAGTTGGGACCAAACCAGCACCAATATGTACTTCCAGTGCTTACAGGTGGAGGATTATCTATATTTGCCCCAATCATTAGCCTTTTTTTTTTTTTTTTTTTTTTTGAAAGTCAGATATACAGAGAGGACAAGCTAATTCACTCCCCAAGTGGCCACAACAGCTGGAGCTGAGCCGATCTGAAGCTAGGAGCCAAGAGCTTCTTCTGGATCTCCTGCATGGATACAGGGTCCCAAGGCTTTGGGCTGTCCTAAACTGCTTTCCCAGATCACAACAGGGAGCTGGATGGGAAGCAGGGCTGCCAGGAGATGAACCACTACCCATATGGGATCCTGGCTTGGACTTTATGGGATCCAAGTGCAAGGCTTGGACTTTAGCCTCTAGGCTACCACGTTGGACCGTAGCCTTTCTTTATGTAAGGTTGATATCTGAAGCATTTCCTTGGAATAACAAACTGAATCACTTCTAGACTTCTTGGATTTCCTGTTGTTTTTCTCTTTATTAAGATGCAATTTTATTTTCAAAACTGTTTAAATTATAGTTTGGGATGGGCATTTCACTCGGTTAAGCTTTGAGCTCGGACAGCCGTGTCCTTCATTGGTGTTGCTGGGTTCAGGCCTCAGTTCTTCCTCCCAATTCCAGCTTCCTGGCAGTACAAACTGGGAATTGGGCTGTTGGCTCAGGTGGTCGGATTTTTGCCACCAGAGTTGGAGAGCTGGATGTTTAGTCTCCAGCTCTGGGGTTAGGCCCCCTTCCTACCTGTCTGCTCGCACTCCCTGTCTCCCTGGCCATTGCGGCACTTTGGGAAGTGAACCAGCAGGTAGGAGTGCTTGCTCTGTCTGTCTCTGACATCTTTTTTTTTAAAATCCAGTTGTTGATAGCAGTGCCATGTGGTTCAGGTGTGAGGTGAAGGAGAGGTGTTCACTGTGTGCCCACCTGATGGACACTGCACGTGCAGCATCTCAGGTTGCAGCTGGCTGGGCTGAGTGAGGCCTGTGGTGCTTTGGATTTCCCTCCAGGTTAAAGAGCTTGTCGAGGCAGAATTGTTTGCTCGCTACGACCGCCTTCTTCTCCAGTCCACCTTGGACCGGATGGCAGATGTGGTGTACTGCCCCCGCCCGTCCTGCCAGCTGCCAGTGATGCAGGAGCCGAGCTGCACCATGGGCATCTGCTCCAGCTGCAACTTTGCCTTCTGTACCTTGTGCAGATTGACCTACCATGGGGTCTCGCCATGTAAAGTGACTGCAGGTACGTCTTCACTCCCTGCCCTTACTTCCCATCATAGCCTGTGGCACCAGTTCCGCAGTGCAGAGTCGCTTGTTCAACCATCATTGCTTTTCATTACTGTCCTCGGCTCGGGGTGTGTAGTTGTAACCAGAAAAGGCAAAATCTCCCATGTCTGTAGTGCTTAAAGATTCTAGTCAGGAGGACAGGCAGACATGGTAAATAAGGGTTAGGTGGTCACAAATGCTAAGCAAGGAAACAAAGCAGACCAGGACATGAGATGTTCTGCAGGCGGGATCTGAAGCTTTTAGTTTGAACACCAAGGCTGCCTCACTGACTTGGTGGTCTAAGAGAGGACACTCCTCCAGTCCTGAGGAGGGACACTGCAGAAAGTACTTCGCTCTTATGAACATGAACTGATGGAGGCCCTGGGTGGCAAGGGCAGGCATCCAAGCTACCACTTCTGTTTCCATGGAATATTCGATGGGTCAGCCATCAATCACTTTCTCACTGAGCCCAGAGAGGCCCAGAATCTTCTTAGCATAGCCATCCTCTGTTGAAGTTGGCATAGGAGGTGAAACCTCTTTGCCAATTCTGATCCAAATAAGGACTGGAAAGTCAGGCCCTTGGTTGGATTTAACTGGACTTTGATGGCTTAGTCTTTCTCTCCAAGTGGACACATCAGCCAGAGCTGAGCTGATCCAAAGCCAGTAGCTTCTTCTGGGTCTCCCATGTGGGTGCAGGGTTCTAAGGCTTTGGGCCATCCTCAACTGCTTTCCCAGGCCACAAGCATGGAGCTGGATAGGAAGCAGGGATTAGAACTGGTGCCCGTATGGCATCCCAGCGTATGCAAGGTGAGGACTATTTTTTTTTAAAGATTTATTTTTATTAGAACGTCAGATATACAGAAAGGAGGAGAGACAGAGAGGAAGATCTTCCATCCATTGATTCACTCCCCAAGTGACATTTCATCAGCATTCCAGGGTTGTATAAAAGTTAATCTTCTGTTTCACTTTCTAGAGAAATTGGTAGACTTACGGGATGAGTACCTGCAAGCAGATGAGGCCACGAAGAGATTCTTGGAACAGAGGTATGGTAAGAGGGTGATTCAGAAGGCACTGGAAGAGATGGAAAGTAAGGAGTGGCTGGAAAAGAACTCCAAGAACTGCCCCTGCTGCGGGACCCCCATACAGGTAAATAAGGGCCGGCAGACCGGCAGGCATGTTGGGATTGCCTTCAGAGCTACTAATCATTTTATGACTTCCTTAGCAACCAGTGTTCATCTTTCCTAAGATTTTCTAAATCCTTTTCATTTCCTAAAATGCAGATTTCCCTGTTCAGTGTTGTCATTGATTTTGAATGTAAGTGTAGACTTTGCTTTTCGAAGTCCTTTCCGACAGAGTTAGCTCTACCTCAGAGTTGAATGAATGTATTACAGGTTAGTCTATTTTCTGTTGCTGGTAACAAATACCACACTGGGTAAGTTACAAAGAACTTTAATTTGGTTCATGATTCTGGAACCAAACCATGATGATGGCTTCTTGTTGGAGGAATCTCAGGGCAGCCCGGTACAGCAGGTGGCAAGAGACAAAGAATATGTGTGCGCGTCTCCCTCACCTTGGTCTCGTTTTTGTTCTTAAAAGGCTATCAATACTCATGGGGGATCCACCCTGATCACTTGACCAAAGCCGCTACCATTTGTACCCTTCTAAGTCAGTGGTATTTATACTCCAGCTGAGTCAGAGAGGGACAGACAGATCCTGTTCAGACCATCACTGGTCAGGAGAAAGGGGCGTGCCACAGCTATATCTGAGTGATGTAAAAAAAGTAGTGGGTATGGCATGGTAGCCTTGCGGCTGAGGTCCTCGCCTTAAATGTGCCAGAATCCCATGTGGATGCTGGATCTAATCCTAGCAGCCCTGTTCCCATTCAGGCTCCTGCTTGTGGCCTGGGAGGGCAGTTGCGGACAGCCCAAAGCCTTGGGACCCTGCACCCGCATGGGAGACCAGAAGAGGCTCTGGGCTCCTGGCTTCAGATTGGCTCAGCTCCAGCTGTTGCAGCCACTTGGGGAGTCAATCGACAAATGGAGGATTGTCTTCTCTGTCTCTTCTCTCTGTATATATGACTTTGCAATGAAATAAATCTTATAAGTTTGACTTCTCAGAAGTGCTTTACCTAAAACATGGTACTCTTATTTAAAAAAAAAAAAAAAGGCATACAGTTGGGCAAAGGAGATACTCCTCCTAGAGAAAACAATGAGACCATTATCTTGCTTCTTGACAAAAAAACATCCTAGTATGTTTTCAGTTGAGCTGAATCTTTGCGTTGGATTCCGCAGTTCAGTCCACCCTACCTGATTAGCCTGGTGGTGAATCCCAGTACTGTCAGGGAGCTAGGCCTGCGTTTGGCCACTTGGGGCGAGCCTCAGGACAGGACGGGGCTGTGACGGAACTGAGGGAGCTTGATCCTAAGTATTTACTTAGGTGTATGTGAAAATTGACTTCCCACCCGTATTTAATCCAAACATTTAGCTAACAATCTAATTACATGTTCTAAATGCATGTATTTGATTTGAATCTAGTGTTTATCAGAAGAGTTCTACTATCTACTAAATATTTTCCATATTTTACTTGAAAAGCAAAATAGCAAGCATTAAATAGTTACCAATCTGTCATTTGTATCTCTTTGCCCTACAAAAGGGAAGGGACTGGAACTGGAGCGTGGGTTCCCGCCACTGTGTTCATTTCTTCCAAAAAACGGCCTCGATGGCGTTCTCTTTCTGTTCTTCCCATCAGAAATTAGACGGATGTAACAAGATGACGTGCACGGGCTGCATGCAGTACTTCTGCTGGATCTGCATGGGCTTTCTCTCTCGAGCAAACCCGTACAAACACTTCACTGATCCTGAGTCCCTGTGTTTCAACCGGTATGTGCGTATGGATTTCTTGGGGCTCTGCAGCAATTGTAGGTGTTTAAGTTGCAGGCCATGAAGCTAGCGTTTACTTCAGTGCTTAGACTTACTTGGAGTATTATCTATGTGTTTTCCCACGCTGATGGATGGCTATTTTGCTGAAAGTGGGTTTAGGGGTGGCGCTGTGGTGTAGTGAGTTAAGCTGCAACCTGCAACACTGGCATTCCATATGGGTGCTGGTTCTAGCCTCGGCTGCTCTAGCTTACTGCTGATGCAGCTAGGCCAAGTGATGGGAGATGGTCCAAGTCCCTGGGCCCCTGCACTCATGTAGGAGAACCAAACATCCTAGCGGGAAAACCGAAGGCCTGCTTCCACGTTAAATGAAGAGCACTGTTGTTGGTGTGGGTGGTCCATGAGACTGACATCACGTCAGGGGACACATAATGTTGGGCTGTCACTCTGTTGAGCAGTGTGGTGTCCAGTTCTGTCATTTGTTTTGTTGTAAAGGTCTCCTTTTTGATAGTGGTGAGGAGGAGCTGACTGTGAATGCTAAGCTCGGCGTGAACATCTGTGTTCCAAGGGCTCCGCAGTCAGCAGCAGTTGGCCATCTCTTACTGGGTTTCTGTAGGCTAACTATAACCACTGGGGTCATGCAGTAATACAAGACGTGGAAGAACCCAACCTTACCAGTCAACGGTTGGGAATCTAGTATTGAAAATTACATAAATTTGAAGTCACAAAAAGGAAGGAGGAGAAACTGGCAAGTACAAAGCATGTGTGGATGTGGGTGTGAGGGCTGTGATGACAGTACCTTGCAGGAGTCCAGCCTCTGACTTCCTCAGTCTTCGGTTACTCCACCGATCAGGGGGTGGTATCTACCGGGTTGGTGCTAGGCTTGGCCCAGGAGAGTTTGTGTGCACTGTGAAAGGGCTCTTCTTAGGAACTGGAAGGCAGCTTGTTCAGGGGAGCTCCAATTTCAGCCCTTTCAGTGGAGTTGATAAGGAAGGAAACATACCAAAGATACTATCCGGAGGAGTACAGAAAGGGTTCTTAAGAGAAAGGAAGAAATTGTTTTGTCCAAGTTCACAAATGTGTTCCGGCCTCCCCTGTCCTCTCACAGACACAGAAGGGCAAAAAAATACTGAAACATTTGTCCCACCCACGTTCCTCCATACCCACCCTAATCAGAGACCTACAGGAGCATGCATCCTCCCCAATTATGTAAACAGTACTAAAAATTAAATAAGTAAGTAAATGAGCGCCTTACTCTGTGCTTCCAGGTTGTTCCATGCCGTGGATGTTAATGGAGATGTTTGGGAAGATGTGATTGAAGACTAGTTAACTACTTCCTCTTGAGATACGGAAATGGAATGATTTGCTGTGATCTTTTGTTGAGTATGCAAAATAACCTTGCAGGATATTTATGCTTCCTGTGTAGAAGATAAGGAAGGAAGAATGAGGTTTATATTTTCACGTGGTACTACTGATTCAGGCACATCCATACATTTTTCATCATAACACAAATGGACACAATTGTAAGCCAAAGGTTCAGAAAATGGAAACTAAAGAACATTACATATTATAATGTGCCCAAAACTCTAAATAAATAGTCATAAAACATATTTAGTTTATTCTCCAAGCATGAGGTGAGGAGAACGATCCAGAGTTAAATCTGCAGGTGCTTCGCCTCTGAGGAGTATCCCTGTTTCATTTGGCGCCTCTGCAGCCGCACTCCGCATGGTGGGGCTGGGAAGGAGCCTCGGGAGAATGGTCCCGAGAGCCCGTGTCATCACCTCCAGCCTCAGCCCCTGCAGAGTTAGCCTCTTGGGAAGGAGCCGTTTACTCAACAACTGATTGCGCGGCTGCCCAGTGTCATTTTGCCTTCCAAAACAAGTTTATAATTAAGAAATATTTTCTTAAGTTATTGAAGAATAATAAGAAAAATAATTTAAGAAAACATTTTCAATACCACAGGCGCTGTAAGTCACTTGATATTTATTATGAGTAATATATATACAGATAAATAGATAAATATATAGTCTAGGGGTTTGAAGCCAAGTTGAAAATTTAATGACACAGGCTCAGGAAAACCTGAGCCCTCTTCCACTTTCCTGAGCAGTTGAGCCTGAGTTCAAAACTTACCCTTGCTACCCTTCTGCTCCACATTTTCTGCTTGTACCTTAAGACAGTTGCAATACTAATTCCAGCAGCACGTGTTTTTATTTCCTCTGGGGGAGGGAGAAGGCCTAAAATATTCCCAAATGGAACAAGCTGGATGTTCCTTTATTCTCTGGTTCTTGAGCTTGTCCACAGCATGTAGTTTGATGCTAAGGTCCTGAGTTCTTAAATTCTCTCATGAGCTGCAGGAAGTGGTCTCCCTGCCCTGTCTGCAGCAGCAGTGTGTTGGGTGGTAATTTTTGCTTGATATGTAGATTGCACTTTCACAAGTTTGGCTGGCTCTTTGAAAAACTGTCTTAGGGTCAGGGGAGTGGCGTGAAAGCAAAACCAGATTTTTATAGAAAGTACAGAAGAATTCAGCTAGAGCCTTTGTTTTTCCCTGCCTTGTCATTGAAAACTGAAGAATCACTTTTAACTGTTCTAGATGTGTGTGTGTGTGTGTGTGTGTGTGTCCCCAAAAAGTCAGCAAGGACTGTATTTCTGGATTGTCCACAATGAGGATGCTTCATCTTGAAAATAAAAAATAATTTAAAAAATTGTATTAGAGCAGATTTGCTATTTATTCTGTTGCCCAAATGATGATCACATCTTGCAACTATGGAAAGAAAAAGTCACAGGACTGCACCTCCTCTCTCACCTGGGCTTGAGACTGAAGTTTGGTTTAAACCAGGAAGCTTCGTGGCCTCCCTCCCACACAGTGCATTTTATCTCAAAACTCCAGTTCACAGAAAATGGTAAGTAGAAAGTGAGAAGTGGGAATTAAAACAGTTACTGTAGAGACCGCAGAAGAGTGACTCCTGTCATTGAACAGTAATAGAAATTCAGTGAGGGTCCCCCCCGCCTTTTTTTTTTAAGAAGATTTATTTATTTGAAAGTGAAAGTTACAAAGATTTTACTCCTTAGATGTCTGTAATGACTGCCTGGGCCAGGCCAAAGCCAGAGGCTAGGATTTGCCTTGGGTCTCCCATATTGGTAGCAGGAACTCAAGGACTTGGGCCATCCTCTCTTGCTTTTCCCAGGCCACTAACAGGGATCTGCATCAGAAGTGGAGCAGCCTGGATATGAACCGGTGCCAGTGTGAGATGTGTTCGTCACAGGCTTTGCCTCCACCTGCTGTGCCACAGCGCTGGCCCAGGGTGGGTTTTGGCAGTTGTAGCTGCTTAGGTGCTGTGGTTCCTGAGCTAGTTGACCTGCTTGAGATCATTTTAACTTGTTGCACCTTATGTTGATAATGTTGTGGAAGTAACAGAAAAGCTTTCATAATAAAATTTGTAAGAGGTTTTTTTTTTCTCCCCATTTATGATTTTAAACCAATGCACAGGTGTTTAGTCCTAAAGATTTGTTTGTTTTCATGAATGCTTCTTCTTTAGGTACAGAATCTTCATCTCAATTTTAGCAATTTGAGGCGTAAGTTAAGAGCTAATTTTAAGGTGTTATTGGGATCTGTAGCCTCCTGAATGCCCTGGGAAAAAGATTGGTTTGTATAAGTCAGCTTTGTCAAGAAACTACATGATTGGGCCCAGAGCGGTGACCCAATGACTAAATCCTCACCTTGAACCAGTCGGGATCCTGTTTGAGCACCAGTTTATATCCCAGATGTTCCACTTCCCATCAAACTCCTTACTTGTGGCCTGGGAAGGCAGTAGAGGACGGCCCAAAGCTGTGGGACCCTGGACCACATGGAAGACCCAGAAGGAACTCCTTGCTTCTGGCTTCAGATCAGCTCAGCTCTGGCTGTTGTAGCCACTTCGGGAGTGAACCAGCAGATGGAAGATTTTTCTCTGTGTGTGTCCTTTCTGGAAATATGCCTTTCCAAGAAAAGGAAATAATTTTTTTTAAAATACATAATAGAATACTTTTAGACCTGGCTTAATTGCAGGTTAAAAATGGACTGAGATTGGCCACATATTGACATAAACCTTATGTGTATCTTGATTTTTATGTAGGCTTGAGTCTAGAGCTGATAAATAAAAATAAGATACCAAATGGCTTAAAGAGTCAGTTTACAGGCCCTAGTGTAATAGTTTAAGTCCCAACATGTAGTGCTGGCATCCTATATGGATACCAGGCTCGCCATTGTGGGCATTTGGAGAAAGAGCCAGTTGATGGAAGTTCTGTCTCCTCTGTAAACCTGCCTTTCAAATTAAAAAAAACCTGGTCAATTTAGGGTCAGGTACTTGGCAGCATATACATTGAGACACCCACATCCATAGTGAAGTCCTCTCAATTTCCCATCCCACCTTCTGCTGATGCACACCCTGGGAGGCAGCAGACAGTGGCTCAAGTTCTTGGGTCTCTTGTCATTTGTTTAGGAGACCCAAGTTAGAATTGCAAGCTCCTGGCTTTGGCCTGGCCCACCCCCAGCTGACTGCAATATTTGGGGAATGAATCAGCAGATGGCACCTCTCTTCTACCTCCTCATTCCTCTCCCCACCTTTTAAATAAGTATGTGTTTTTAAAAATGTCAGAACTGGCTGGCATCGTGGTGCCATGGATTAAGCCTCTACTTGCAGTGCTGCCATCTCATCAGAGTGCTGGTTTGAATCCTGGCTGCTCTTCCTCTGATCCTGGGGAGGCAGCAGAGATTGGCCCAACTGCTTGGTCCCCTGCCACCCATGTGGGTGACCTGGATGGAGTTCCAGGCTCTGGGATTTGGTCTGACCCAGACCGTGCTGTTGCAAGCATCTAGATTTGGGAGCGATAGTGTGTAGGTCAGCCCATCGGTGCATGCGTGGGTTCACGGATCCACTGCAGACAGCATGCAGAACAGTTCCACCACCCCACTTCCCCGCTTCCCATCCAGCTCCCTGCTTGTGGCCTGGAAAGCAGAGGAGGACGGCCCAAAGCCTTGGGACCCTGCATGGGTGTGGGAGACCCGGAAGAGGCTCCTGGCTCCTGATTAGCTCAGCTCCAAGGGAGTCAGCCAGCAGATGGAATATCTTTTTCTCTGTCTCTCTGTAAATATGATTTTTCAATAACAATAGGTAAATCTTTAAAAAGAAAAAAAAGAAGATTTTCATTGGTTTATGGTTCTGGTCACTGATGGAGGGGCTGCAACTGACAATGGACTTGATGCTGGCATGTCCGTCGGGTGATGGAGGGCATGGCCTGGCAGTGGGCTTCACGCTGCCGTACCCCCCGGTGGTGCAGGACATGGCCTGAGGAGGGACAGAAAACACCCAAGGCCACTCCCACTGTTTTTTTTTTTAAGATTTATTTATTTTTATTACAAAGTCGGTATACAGAGAGGAGGAGAGACAGAGAGGAAGATCTTCCATCTGATGATTCACTCCCCAAGTGACCGCAACGGCCAATGCTGAGCCAATCCGAAGCCAGGATCCAGGAACTTCTTTCCAGGTCTTCCACACGGGTGCAGGGTCCCAAAGCATTGGGCCGTCCTCGAATGCTTTCCCAGGCCACAAGCAGGGAGCTGGATGGGAAGTGGAGCTGCCGGGATTAGAACCGGCACCCATATGGGATCCTGGCCTGTTCAAGGCAAGGACTTTAGCCACTAGACCACGCCGCCAGGCCCTCCCACTGGTTTTTATAGCAGACTTGCTCCTGATAACACATCAACATTCTTACCTAATCACTTTTAAAAAATATATATATATATATATTTTAAGATTTGAATATTTCTTTGAAAGAGTGCCATGGATAGGAGAAAGAAAGACATCTTCCATCTGCTGGTTCTTTCTCTCCAAATGATCGCCAGAAGCCAGGAGCTCCATCCAGGTGTCCCACATGGGTGGTAAGGAGGCCTGTTCCTGGGCCGCCTCCACTGGCTTCCCAGGTATGCTACCAGCAGGAAATGGGTCAGAAGCAGAGCAGATAGGAGTGAAACCAGCCCTGATAGGCGAGGCTGGCATCCCCAGTGGTGGCTTAACTTGCTGTACCACACACCAGCCCACCCCCCCAATCACCTCCAGCGGTCCCTCCCAGCCCCACTTCATCCGAGGGTGCAGGCCCTGTTTAGGCCTCAGCACCCGTCTGCATAGCTCCCCTCAGATGCTATTACCTGTCCTGAGACCTTCGGTCAGTCCTGGGACACAGTTCTCCCTCCGAGCCTTGTGACTCTCCTTTTTCCACAGAGGAGCAATGATTGGGCACTGACCAACAGGACTGTCCTAGCTCGGGAAATGCAGGGACGGCAGGCAGGGGTCAAGCAATGAAGCCCAGGGCATTGGCAGGATGGTTCAAAATGTGGCGTTCTGATGTAGCACATACATTTTACTGTGCCTATGTGGGTGCTGGTTGGCGTACCAGCTGCTCCACTTCCCATCCAGCTCCCTGCCTGAGGCCTGGGAAAGCAGTCGAGGACGGCCCAAAGCCTTGGGACCCTGCACCTGTGTGGGAGACCTGGAAGAAGCTCCTGGCTCCTGGCTTTGGATCGGCGCAGCTACAGCTGCTGAGGTCATTTGGAGAGTGAACCAGAGGATGGAGGATCCAGAGCCCGTTTCCTGTTTAGTATTTTCTCTTTGGAAATTGTAAGCAGATGGTCTTAGGTTAAACTAAACAGAAAGTCCCCTCTCAAAAGAAATATCACACCAAACCCCATGAATACCAGGAATTTTAAAACATGAAATGAAAAATGAAAGGTTATTTCAATGCAAATAATAATAATAATTAACTCCTTGCATATGAGGGGGCTTGAAAGAGTTCCTGGAAACATGTGCTATGAAGAAGTAATGCGTGGAGCGTCTGGTGCGGCTAAAACTGCATTGGATAGAGAATCCTGCTCCAAGTGATTGAAAGAGAGTTCTGAGCTCAGCTCAGTAGCCTCGTGGCTGAAGTCCTCACTTTGCAAGCGCCAGGATCTTATATGGGCGCCAGTTCTAATCCCAGCAGCCCCATTTTCCATCCAAGCTCCCTGCTTGTGCCCTGAGAATGCAGTCGAGGACGGCCCAAAGCTTTGGGACTCTACACCTGCATGGGAGACCGAGAAGAAGCTCCTGGCTTCAGATCGGCTCAGCTCTGGCTGTTGCGTCTGCTTGGAGAGTGAATCAATGGATGGAAGATCTTCCTCTTTGTCTCTTCTTCCCTTTGTATATCTGACTTTCCAATAAAATAAATAAATAAATCTAAAAAAAGAAGCAAAGAATGAGTGGATATTGGGGGTTGCACCAAAACAAATTTATGTTTCAGCTCTGTTTTCTTTATGGTTTATGCCTGAATAAACGCATTTTAGTTCCATTTTCTTCATGAGCTTTTTGAGGTACTTTTGTGGGCTGGATATTAGTAAGGGTCCCCAAAGGCTCCTGTGTTGAAGGTTTGCTTCCCATGCTGTATGTTAATGCTGATGGCTAATAGTTAATGGGTTTGGGTTGAAAACAATCCACTTGAAAGGCGTGGTCTGTGGGAGTGATTTGATTGGCTTAGGTTACTAGGTAACAGGAGGGGGGGCGTCCTGTGATTGGCTTAGGTTACTAGGTAACAGGAAAGGGCGGTGGGGAGGGCGTCCTGTGATTGGCTTGCCCTGCCTTTCCAGAGAGCCTGGACAAGCTGCCAGGCATGCTCCCTGCCCCTCTGCTTGCGCGAC